TATAAAATCTTTAGCTTGCAGCCTAGTGGTTTTTTCCCCATCCTACAACATACGAGATATGGGTTCGAATCCCATTACTCACAATTTTTTTTTTTTTTTGGCTTTACAACATCATTTTCATGATTTAGAAAAGTCAGAAGGCAGAACACTGAACATATCCCCAAATCCCCAATTCCCCCAAAATTGAAACCCTAAGTCTCAAAGTCACCCAAATTGAAATCCGCAGCAGCCCCGTCCAAGTGCCTCCGTCGCCGTTCACCGTATCACCGGCAGCCTTTTCGTGCTTCTCCGTCAGGCGTGAGGCGTCCGTCAATCCGTCTGTGAGGTTGTCGTAGCGTCGTGCTCGTGCAGTGGCTCCCCAAATTCGATTTTTTTAAAATTAGTTTTAAACTTTTAATTTATATAATTACATTGCAATAAGATTATAGATTGATTAGATTCTATATGAAATCATCAATTTAAATGTTTAATTATCAAAATTATCAGTATATTTAATATCAGTGTATGAGTTTTTTTTTTAGTTTTTTTTTTTTGTTTTTTTTTTTTTTTTTTTTTTTGGTTGAAATTTCTTGATTTGATTAGTGCTTGATATAGTATTAGGATCTATAGCTGCATACTTCAGGGTTCTTCAGGTTTATTGCTGCAATTTCCGTGTGAGTTACTTTTCATGAAATTTGCAACAACTCTTCAATTTTTGGTTGCTCAATATCTTACTTATCATAAGATGTAACACGGTTTTGGGGGGATTTTTGTCAACCTCCTTTGTATGAATTTTCCGTGACTAAGCTTGAACTCGATGATGCTCAGGTAGTAAGTAGTCATTCCGTCCATTCTCCCTCCAAAAAATGCTATAGAAGAGTGAGAATGTGACAAGAAGAAAGTGACCAATATTGCTTATGAGCTTCGTATTCCCATTCTGACTCCGAATTCTAATTTCTTTGCCAATAAAACATGAGGATAGTATTATTTCTGTTTAATTGATAAATGATAATAGTTGTCCAACTTGCTTATTAGCTATTGAGAATGGTGATTGCTCATTTGGAGATTTGGGGTTTGGTGGACTGAAATTGAGGTCAATGGGCGTTTTTTTTTATGATATTATTAGTTTTAATAGCCTTGGGAGAGAACCCTACTTGTATGATTTATCTAATTCAACCTTTAACTTCAATTTCAGAATGAAAATAAAAACAACTCGAGATATTTCAAGTTTTTTTTACTAAAAAAGTGCCTACTCTTGTCACATTATTTCAAGCATGGATGATATTGTACATCGTTATCAAAATATGAAAACTCGTCGAGAGCAATTGTAATAAAATTAGTACCTTTTTAGTTGTAATATGAATTTGAATTACTTTATGAAATTAACTTTTTTATGTATTTTTTTTTTGTCCATTATTCAAGCTTTGATTATTTTTTGATATTTTATGCGGTCGGTGGATGATGATGGGATGGGACAACCTATTATTTAAATCCTGGATCCGCCACTGAGTATGGATAGTACCATAGCATATGGTTGGAATTCAAATCTTAATATTTACTCTTCTAGAATGAATATATTATAAATTTATAATATAGCCACTTTAAAATAAAATACTAGGTATCCTTTACCTAATCAAAGGTACGTTGTATCATTAGTGACGAATGACGGCTATCCTCCAATCGATAATTCATCCATATAAGATGGAATACTCGTGTTGCTTTGAAATTTTGCAACCTGTCAACAAAGCACATGAGTATAGATTTATTTATGGTTCCACTTTTCACGCTTTCTCATCTAACCATATATAATTTTTTTTTATGGATATAATTTCTAACCATAAATTAATTCATTATTATAATAATTAAACATATAAACAAGAATTACACTAATGCATTTTTTAAAAACATAGGAGAAAAACATTATAATTCTCTCTTCACCAGGGTAAACCTAATGCATCAAACCAATAATACTACGTATAATATTTAAATATAATGTAAAAATATTCAACCGATGTTAGCTATTAAATTTGTTACTTGATTTGCTTCTTTGTAGTTTGTATATAGAATTAAGAATTCTCTTTTTAATTTCAAACAAGAGGAATCACAAGAGCAATAGAAGTAACGAAGTATAAATGAGGAAAGAAAATTTAAATACTCGTATGTGTTTATCATGTATAGACCCTCAATTTTCGCCATTAATCCACTGAAAAATAGGTAAATAAAAATAAACTGTTCGTTATTTTAATATATATATATATATATATATATATATATATATATATATTTTTATTTATGACTATAAGGTTTAGGTGTGCATTAATTCCTTCAAAATGATTGGCGTAGTACTCCGTAGTAGTTAAGGCCGTACCAATTGTAAGAATTGTGTAAATTGGAATTGACTTTGACGCACTTGGATTTGGTCAAAGGATATATGCCTTCAAACTGATTATTTGCAATAATTACTGACACTAGTCCAATTAGGTGCTGAATAATCTAATTCTACCAAATTTGTGAGTACTACTTTAATTGAATTATTCAATTTGTATTTCTTTATATATTTATTTTTTACATTTCCGCGTAGCCCATAGTAGAAGCAAGGACACCTAGAAAGATAATAATTTCAATATGGTGGTTCTTATGTCAATACCCACTCTAATCTGCCACCTTAAGAACACAACAAATTTTAAGATAATTTTATGTACAAATTCCATTTGATTAATGTTTTCCTCACTGCAATTTTTGCTATAATTAGACTTTTATATGTAGTTATTCACACTCTTATTTGACCATTATTATGATTTATATGTAAAAACAAATATAATTGTGTAACTTCATATGACCTTTAATTATTAAGAATTAAAGATATTAATAGTAAAAGTTATGCATTGTAAAACATAAATATAATATTACACTTATAATTATTACTTTGTTTGAATATTAAAGGATCGTACATAGGAAGAATATCGGTTATATTCAGATAAAAGAATATAAATCAAAAAGAAATTGAATTTCGCTTTTAGTGCTGATGTTAAATTTTTTTTAATGACATAATATGATTAGTAACAAATAATCTAGGACCACAATAAAGACGTTGCTAGTTGCGTAGCATTTTTCTCATTAAATGATGGGATGGTATAAGGCCAATTGGTTGTTAAATTAGTACATTATGATTCTTAAAAATAAGAGTTGTATTATTCTTATCTATTACTTGTACATTAGTACGTCTCTTTCTCTAAATTTGTAAGAACACAAAATTTAAATCTTCGTTATCCCAATAAGAAATTAATTAGACAAATTAATTAAAGTGTAATGTGTATAATACTCCCCCCTTAGTATGACATACGTAGAAACTATCAAAATCGGTATATTTTAAACTCACGCATACATTTTTTAGTCTTATCGGAAGGTATTCAATGATTTTATAAATATATACTCTATAGAACATTAAGGTTCTAATATGATGACCCACCTACAATAGGTGGGTAGCAATTTCAAAATTGAAGCTCATTGAAGCTCTGTCCCTAAAAAAGGTTCTAATATGATGGAATTTTAATGATTTTAATTTTACTTTTCGTTTTCAAAGCCAGGCCATTAATAATAATGAAGAACATCTTTGGATTAGAGTGATACTATACTTTGATAATGGTTTAATTCCCTTTGATGTAACCTTTCTTTACTTGAATTGTGAATGCAATTTCATCTTCATACATTGTTGATTAGACTATTGCGATTGCATCCTTAATTGTCACATTCAATTTGTATATATATATATATATATATATATATATATATATATATATATATATATATATATATATATATATATATATATATATATATATATATATATATATATATATAGATAGAGTGTGGATCATGTAAAAACAAGCCTATAGCTGAAAACATAAAAACGGACAATCAACACCGTAGATTATGACCCATCAAATCTCACGGCTGAGATTAAAACACATATTCTCCCTCAAATCCCTAACTCACCGTCCAAAATTTCCTCTCTCCTCAAACTTGCAAACCTCTTGTCTTTCTCTCTCCTCAAATCCCAAAATTGAACACAAATTGCTGGAAATTGAAGAATTTTTGTTCAAATTTCGCATAAACAACCTAAAATTGCTCAAATCAGGTACGTTTTTTTTTTTTCCGATTTTGTTCAAATTTTCATGAAAAACGCATGATGTTCAACTAGATTTTGCGATTTTTCAATTTGATTTTTCCAATTTTAATGCGATTTTTGTGATTTGATTTATGCGATTTTCAGATTTTTAATTTTCGATTTTATTTGGCAATTTTATCAAATTTTTTTCCTGCGATTTTGTTCGATTTCTTGTGCGATTTGCGTGTTTTGTTCATCAATTTTGTTTGATTTCCAGTGCGATTTTGTGACTTTTGCTCATCAATTTTTTCGACTTTTTTTCATCAATTTTGTTCGATTTGTTTGATTTTGCGATTTCCTGTTCGATTTTGTTCGATTTCCTGTTTGATTTCGCTTGGTTTTTGTTCGTTTTCATTTGTGATTTTTGTTCAATGGCAAAAACCTTATGTTCCTGGGTTACTTGATGAAGTGAGAATAGGTCAGAATGTTGTTGTCATTTCTTGTAAATTGAAATTGTGATTATCTGTGGATACTACATTCAGAAATGGAGAGGCAACAATAAAAGCCTTTGTTTCTGTTAGTTTTCTCTTGGAGACCAGCCGCTTGCTGCTCAATTTCAGGAAATTCCTGCAGAGCTTCGGATGTCAGAAGCTGAGAGGGTTGGATGTAGGCACAAGCACTTGATATATATTTTTGTCAAAATAATGAAACCACCTAATTAACAATGCTAATTTGTATTTACTTGTTATATATTCTGGTTTATTGGAAATTGATTGGCTTTATTGCTGTTGGCAGATGAACTTTTGAAATCAACTGTGGCGGACAAAATTCCAAGTGATTTGGAAGGCATGGAAAGTACTCTGGAGAGGTTGCTGGCTTTAATTGAAATGGACCAAAGCAAACCTGATTTAAAATGGATTAACGCAATTCCTATCAACAAGAACACAATAAGTTATGGCCTTTTAATTTGAAGTTGATTAGAAAGTGAAATTAGCCTAACAGCCTTACCAAAAGATGACCATCACCTCAAGTATGACCCCACCTGTATTGGAATTGACCCTACTACTACTGCTTGAAGTTATGCTATGCCTAATAGTGGCAAAAGTTATACAGTTTATAAAGTATATAATGTATGATATTGGTGTTTGATTCACTAATGCCTAGTAATGGCAAAAGTTATACAATTTATAAAGTAAATAATGTATGATATTGGTGTTTGGTTCACTAGTCCTCTTTGGCTCTGGTGGTGGCTTTCAAGATTCTTGAAACCAGAGGTCTAGGGTTCAAGGACTAGTGGAAAACCAGCTACAGAGGAAAGATACTAGATGAGGTATTACAAAACACCTTCCTTTTGATTTTTGATATAATTGTAAATTAGTGGTATGCTGAGTATTACTGTATTGCTTTACTGCCTTTTATTTTGTTGTGCAATTTTAATTTTACAAATAGTATGTCAATTACTAGCATTGCTAGATTGTTACACTGCACGGACATAATTACTTCATAGAAAAATTATCTCAGATTCTATTTCTCACAAAAGAATGAACAAAAATGAGGGTCATTTGGCTTGTTGCTAATCAATCACCCTTTCATTATTTCAGTGCAAGTTCTGTGGCAGGGAGGGTACTATTACAATGATACCAAAATCTGGCCGCTATCTAACAGGTGATGACTGTGAAGCTGGAAAGTTTGTCCGTTTGATGAGCTTTGACTGCCGGGGTTTGGAGCCAGTGGACTACTCCTTTGGTGGTGACAAGGAGGAGTGGGAGAAATTATCTGATGACAAGTAGGAGCATGAGAAATTATCTGATGACAAGGAGCCCGGAGAAGGAGAAGTTATCTGATGATAGTTACCTTACTTTTGTAAATAGTGACATCTATAAAAATGTGGTCAATGTTGTCAAAATTTATATAATTACCTTATTTTTATATATAGTGATCTTCGTTATTTTTATATATAGTGACCTCTGTATAAATGTGGTCAAAATTGATATAGTTACCTTATTTTTGTATATAGTGACCTTTATGTAAATATGGTCAAAATTGATATAGTTACCCTATTTTTGTATATAGTGACCTCTAAGTAAATATTCTAAAAATTGATATAGTTACCCTATTTTTGTATATAGTGACCTCTAAGTAAATATTCTAAAAATTGATATAGTTACCTTATTTTTGTATATAGTGACCTTTATGTAAATATGATCAAAATTGATATAGCTACCCTATTTTTGTATATAGTTACGTTATTTTTATATATAGTGACTCTATGTAAATATCGTCAATTTAGATAAAGTTACCTTATTTTAGCATGTAGTGACCTTTAAAACGTTGCGTTTGTCAAAAAAAAAAAAAAAATCTTTAAAACAGTTGAATTGATTATATGTAAGGTCGGAATGATCTTAGGGCTTTAGAACCGTCTGATCTTTTGTGCTAGTAATGAATGGCTAAGATTGCTTGTTTTTAGTTTTCACCATAAGCTCTGTTTTTAGCGGAACCTCCCCGTATATATATATATATATATATATATAATATATATATATATATATATATATATATATATTATATATATATATATATATATATATATATATATATATATATATATATATATATATATATATATATATATATATATATATATATACATATGTTGAATCATTTTTGATAACATAGCCATCAACGTTTGCTTAAATTTGACTAATATTATTTTGATCAAATTACAATATCTTTACATGTGAACTATTGTACGTACCTCAGCAGATAAACTGACAAAGATGCAAAATTTGGCCACGTATTGCTTTGCATCAAAGCATCGGCATGATTCGAGTGCTTAAATATGCTACTGGGATCGATGCTAGCTAATAATATTATATCATACAAGTATATATAACTTGATCGCTGAATATAGACACCATGTAAATATAGACGACGTTTGATTTGAAAAGGTCTAATATACTTCCTTTCTATGCAATTACTAGATAAAATCATCAAGGTTACACTAATCATTAGCAATTGTTAACTCTTTAACCATACTTACATTTCCCATTCTCATCAACATAGGTAATCACATTTCACGTATCAAATATCAATGGCAAGATAATTCCTATGCCCGTTACTGGAATGGTGTCCCAATTTACCTCTTTCATTTCATTTGCAAGAAACTTTTTCTCCCCTTATACTCTTGATTTGGGTCTCACACTCACATACCTTTCTTTTTTTTTTTTTTTAATTTACTTTTACGTGTTTACATAAATCTCTACAGATAGATCAATAAGCGGCAAAATTGAGATAAAGGGAGTATTCCGTATAATTTATGTTGAATTGAAGCATAAACTTCCCAAAAAACACATGTAAGTGTCCCATATTGAGAAAAGAAGAGAGAGTTAAACATTTTATAAGGCTAATGAACTACTTCTCCTATATCCATATGGTTTTGGAATGAAACCTCTTTTAATATTGTAAAGTGGACTCTCTTATTTGATTTGCAGGGGTGATTCTGAGCATGTGCAGGGTGGTCGATCGCACAGTGCCCCTAAGTGAAACTATTATTAAAAGGGCCCGATTTTTTGAATTTAGTAACATATTTTTCCTAAAAAAAAATAATTTGATGACCCAATTTAACAAAATTGCACCGGACCACTTTCAGTGTTAGCATTTATAACCCCGTCTCTGTCTGTATTTAACAGTTTATTCATGTCAATGATAGAAATTATTTTCCCATCGACTTATCCTCTATAACCATCCTCATTCATATATATTTATATTTAAAATTAAAGTAAGATAGGACAATAAGATTGTTGTACAAGTTACAGCAACTGTTGTGTCCCACTGTCCCATTTTTATTAAGAGAGTCCTAAATGATTAAGGAGTATTCTAATTTCTAAGACAATGTCGATCATAAATCCGTACATTGTAGATGATTATATTTTAACTTACTGTAGCTCACAAATTTTTTGTTAGTAATTTTGTTCTTCTTCTCTGTTTTCTTGCTTCTTTTAGGGTAATCGTTGAAATTATTTATATTTCTCAAAAAGTAGAGTCCCAACTCCGACCCTACCAATTATTGGTATGATGACATTTGAATATTTTTGATAGGTGATGAGGTAAGTTGGTTGGCAGATGATTATGGAGCGTAGAATTTGGCAATGATAGAGGATTTAGATCAATCAAAATATAATTTCAAAAGTTAAATAGCGAGTGCTCTATTTGTCTTTTTAAGTTTGCCCTACTACTATTATTATTATTATTATTATACGTAAATGATTATGAATCTTTGATGAATTCATTACTTTACTCTCACATTTATTATGTCGAATTTAAATTTTCGTTACTTTTCAAGCAACAATTCTACACAATTAAAGTTTAGTATAACGACTATACACTAATACGATAAACTAAAAGGAACAAATATAGTAATAACGAGCCGTAAGAATAATACTTCCTTTGTTTCTTTATAATTGCAACACTTCTCTTTTTACACTTGTCGATGCATGATTTCAATCGTTAATATCTTTAATTACGAATATATAAAAATTATAAACATTTGACATTAAAATAGTATAAATCGAGACGAATCTAACAAGATCCCACATGATTATAATTTTGCATAGCTATATGAAACAAATAAATAGTGTAAAAGACAAACTATTGCAACTATAAAAAAACAGAGGAAGTATAAGATAAGGTTAATCAACCCACCATCCTTTTATTCCCCTTTCTCCTCCTAATTAGTAGCTAAATTGATTTTGTCCCCTTTACCCCACCCCCAATCTTTACGGCCAACTGACCATATTGTTTACTTTGTATTTATATGAACTAGAGTGTATCCGTGCTAACACATGGTATACACGTAACATGTATATTTAGGAAGAAAAACAATAGGAGATGTGGAAGTTATGAATTAAAAAAAAATAAAAATAAAAAGAGAGAGAGAGAAAAGTAAAAGTTATTTAATTGGAGGTTATAGCAAAAAAAAAAAAAAAAATTCGAAAATGCATAAGATTTTAGAATTGGGGTTTTGGAAGCCTGTGATTAATTGACTTTTAAATAATACGGAGTATAAAAGATTAATTACTTTTATTAATAAATCATCATGGTCATATTATAACACCACTAAATATGGAAGAACAACTGTTGGTTCACACACTACATACCGTGGGAGTGCTTTAGCAATATAAATATATTTCATTGGATTGTGTTTTACTACTTCAATTAGAGCGCGTTGTATAATTTAGTCAAAAACTCAAAACTAGCAATAATAGTGTGTGAATGCAATCTTTTTATGCCAACGAATCATCCAATTTTTAAGCAGATAATGACTTTTAGTTTGTACTAGATTTAGCTCATCATTTGGTATAACTTACAATAATGGATTTCTGTAGTATTTATTTATTTGCTTAATTGTGTAGATTTGTGCAAGCTAAGCTACATACGGAGTAGATGGGTTAGATTTAGATCGGATAATAGCACATTAGTGCACTCACGCGTTCATTTGAATTGACGGTTTAAGTTTAATTTGAATTCTAATTGTCTAGTTTCTTTAGTAATTTTGAAGAGTTTTTATTGGAAAAATGTATCTTGCTCACTATTAGCTCAAGCATTTGATTTGATATCATTTGCGGTTTAGAAAATCTTTTGTGACAAAAGAAATCAGATAGTTTGATTTTTGTATAGTTGTCATTTTTGTAAATAAACAATTGTACGTGTAGAAGCATTATTTTTGCTTGAAAGAATCTTTTTGTATCAAATATGCTCTACCCTTTATTATTACATATCAAAAAAATGTGTAAAACATTATATTCCCTTGATTATTTCATATTGTTGATCATACTCTCCATATCAAGGAAGTTTTTTGAATTTAAAAATTAAAAAAGAAAGATTTGACACGTGTTTGAGAAAATTCTTTGACACGTGTTTGAGAAGATTCTTCATAAAAGAATCTAATACACCCTAAAGGCATGCTTAGATTGGAGGTAATATATTAAAGGGGTAATAAAAGTCAAACTTGAAAAAACATAAGTAATTAAAAAAGTTGTAGGAGACAGAGTGTTTACAAATGAGAAAGATAATTGTGTCATGAGGAAAAGAGAGAGATGGAGGAATTAATCTTCATAATGAAGATAATAGCTACCCACCCTCCCCCTAGTGTAATTATTACCCCAAAATGAGGGTATTAGTTCCTCTTTCTTCACCTCATACTACACCATCACTATATAATTTCCTTTATAATCATACCATCACTATCTTCTCCTTCCCTACATTCACTTTTATTTTGCTTAGTTTGACTTTATTACCCTAGTAATACATCTCCCTCAATCCAAGCATGCCCTAAAAGAGAATGGATTAATAGAAGACAAACAACTGTTTTGGATTATTCGTAATAACATATATATGGGGTATCATATACCCTGTATAATTATGCATTCATATTTTGCACTCCTATCGTTTTCCTATTTAACAAGAATAACAAAATTCATATACATATTGGAAATTTGGAATCAATTCATATACTACACACTAGAAAATGTACATCCACTAGAAAATGCAAAAAAGATTAGCTATATAAAATCGGTTTTACCTTGTACAAAATACGAGTAAATAATTAAACAAATCAATTATGCATTTCGTTGAAAATCAGCAATTCTCGATTTACAATCAATTTTTCCTTGTGTAAGATACAATCAAAGTTATATTTATGTTTATTTAATGTGATTGCACCTTATGAATTGCCGAACAGAACCTATAATCTTAAGATAGGATCCATATCCTGAGTAGGGCTTGCCATGTACCTTCCTAAAAAAAACTTGATCGATCGTTCCATACAAGTCAGAACCCCCACTATACTATATTACGACTGGCTACCCAACAAGGTCACAATTAAGAAAGGCCCACGACCACGAGGCAGTCCCACAGTAAAATAGGGGAAACA